AAACTCCCAACCAAACTATACCTATAGGCCCCTCTTTAAAAACCATCTATTATTCAACACTCGTTTTTTCTCTCCGTGGCATTATGTGTTATGGGGATCCACTGCAATCGGATCGAACCTCAATTCGTATCTGTATCTGTATCTGTATCTGTGAGATAATAGCCGGCGATCGGCAGCGACTGGCCAGCGATGACTTCTTTCTTTCACTTTGATTGACACGCTTTTTGGGTTATTGGTTATGGGTTATGGCAGAAATTATAAAATCGAGTAATTATATCAGCCAGCCAACGGTAAACGGTAAACGATAAACTGACTGCCCGCAATCGGGCCATCATCTGGCTATACTATACTATATTATTCGATTTTCTTCGTCACAGTCCCCCGAAGATTGCCGCATAAAATACCATATATATATAGTTCAAAAAAAAGCAATCCAGCTTTCCAAATAGCAGGTGGAGGAGATGAAAAATTATAGTGAAATAAAAGATATATCCCAGAGGTGAATAAAAGAAAAACATTGCATTGTTGTGGCAGCATTTTATCGTTAAACGCTAACGGTCACTCAAGGCATTCATTCACATTCACTTTTCGTTTCAAAAAAAAAAAAAGATATACAATATAATATAAAGCATATACTGATCCCTCATTTGAATTTCTAATCGAAAGAAATGGGTCTTATGTGAGACTTATTACTATTATCATTCAGATATGTGGGTCTCCATCGATTTCGTAATCCCCATTTTCGCTTTTTCGCTGGGTCTGGGTCTGGGTCTGGGTCTTTGCCTTTTGAGTTCATTGTCGTCAGAACTCGAAAAATAATGATTCGAAAAAAATATATAAACTCCAACTGACTGATGAGGCTTCGGCTGTGAACCGGTTTCTTCTGAGGTGTTTCGTCGTCTTCGGTGAAATTTATGATGCATAATATTTGTTTTATATTCACCATTGTTTGCGGTCATAGTTGCACTCCAGATGTCGAAAGAGTGTTTCCACCAGATGTGTGGCACGAGATGCAATTGAAAGTTCCCAGAAAAGCGAAAAGGGAAAAGGCCGAAAGGCTGAGCTCTTTTTCCCAGAAGGAAAGTTTCAGGTCTTTAACCGAATGATTATCCAAAATGCATCTAATGCATTTATGAACTAAAGTTTGGAAGGAGGTTGCTATATTTCTTCTAATTTTTGATATTTCTAGAGAACTAAAGTCAGTTGGCAGTCCTGGTGAGGGAAGTAAATAAAGTAGGAAACCCTAAAGAGTTTTCTTTTTTTATTGAAAATCTTTCAAGCCTAAAACTTTTGATTTTCTTCAAGAATAGGATTTCTAACAGTATCTTTCTACAAATCTAAAGCAAGTTGGCAGCGCCTGATTAGAAAATATAAGCTAAATAGAGTCTTAATAGTAAGAATCTCAAGAAAATACCATTTATCAATCGTAGTTTTGAGTATTAATTTAAAAAAAAACCTTAAATTGCTAGGTAGGCTTTCTCCTAACTATAGATACTTAAAAAAATATAAGTTGGCAGCTCTTAATAGAAACTAAATAGACTACAAGCCATTTATCGACCATATTTTCAAAGAATTATCTCTTAATTCTTATTTCAACAATATAATTCATTCTTTTATCATAAGAAATATTAAATATAAACCTAAAAAATCTTGGTAGAGCTTCTTTAGACTTCAGAAACACTAGAACCCCAGTTGGAAACTCTAAATAGTAACTAAATAGACTAAAGACCATTTATCTACAATATTTCTAAGGAATTATCTCTTTTCAAATATTTAAATTCATTAAAACCTATCATATACCATATATTTCAATAAAAACTATTGAATCAACTTGAAAACTTTTGGTAGACCTTCTCTAGTCTTCAGAAACCCTACAAACCAAGTTGGCAGTGCTGATTAGAACCCAAATAGAGTAAGCAACCCTAAAACCCTACCATTTATCAACCATAATTGCAAAGAGTCATATTTTTTTTACTAAAATTCTTAAAAACCTCTAAACTTTGATTTATCATATTACTCCCAGAACTTTTTTGACATTTTTGGAAAGGTATTCCCCGCTAAATATTAATCTTCCCTACAATGTCTAAAACATCATTAATTACTGACCATTTTTATTGGTTCTATGATGGTCTAGCATATGATTGATTTGATATTTATCTTAAAGCTCATCAATTAATTTTTTAGCACATTTTTGACAAATTTCGAAAGATGTGATAAAAAAAAACAGGGGTTAACCATAACCATTACCTTTTTTTTTAAATTATAATAATTTGTAAACCATTAACAACCCAGGAATATTATTTTTTTTAACTGCTCCAGTTTTTTGTTTGCTTTTTTGGGGATAAGATCTCTCATCTTTCTTTCGGTTCGAGTGCCTCAATAATAACTGTTGTTTTTGGGGTTTTCTCCGTTCGTATATCCATAATTTTTTTTTGTATTTTTTCGTTTTTCACTTCACCAGAGGTCAGGGTTTGTTGAACCCAGACATTGACCCCCACCTTCTCCTCCCCTACGGCGATCGACACACGACAACTCGCCGCGTACTTTGCGTTGCGTTTGCGTTTTCCATTAGACGCGTCTCTCCCACTCTTTTTATTTTTTTTTTTATATTTTTTATCCCAAGTATCCCATCTTTTTTTTTATAATTATATCTCAGGTCTTTTCTTTTTTTTTTTATGATTCTTTCCCTGCGCTTATTATGATCATCACTATGGAGTAGTAGCTTCCCCTGGGCTAGTCATTATTTTCCTGTTTCTCGGTTTGGTAATTCCCATCTTGAAAAGCCCCCCCGAAAAATGGAAAATTTTTGGTAAAAACATTCATTAGCCGGGGACGGGGGTGGTGGTCAGGATAGCATCTTTTTGTCTGTTCGGATGTTGTGTCCTGACCGGTTTGGGTCATTTTTACTTTCAATTGCCAAACGAGTAAAATCGATGTGAAAATTTTACTACCAACTGCGTCTGTGTCCGCAAAAAACCAGCCAACAAAAAAAAAAAAAAGCGAAATTTTAATAGACCATCATCCCCAATGATGCATCAAATTCTAACCGGTTTTTTGGAAAATTCAGGAAAAAGTATTCAGTGGCTATATAGCACTTATAGTGGCTTATATCACTAGACTTGGGACTCTGAGACATCTGCTTTTCGGCTCTCAAGTTTCCAATTCTTCCAATTCAAGTGAAGATCTTCTTCAGAAGAGGCTGCCCTGAATCTCATCGACCTGGCGATGGAGCTGCAAATCCTCAAGCCATGGCCAATCAGACAGTCTCAATCACTTGGCCATGAGTTTACACTTAAAAAAATCAAAGCTAATTGAGTCAGGTTTATAGACTCGATATAGCTTAAATCTTAAATAATTAATCATTTTATTCTATCAAAAAGCTACCAGATTAGAGGATTATGCTTCCCTTGAAAACTTAAGCAAGTTGGCAGCGCTAAATAGTTACCAAATAAAGCTGGCAGCCCTTAAAATAACCTCAATTAAGATAGTAGCCTAAAAGTGAGATGTTTTAAGTAAGTTTCCGACTAAGAAAGACAACTAGCCTTAGTTATTAGACTTTTTTAAGATTCTTAAAGCTAAAACCAGTCTAAAATATGAACTTTACTTTATTTTAAGCTTTATTTTTGGCAATATTTGGCAAAGAAACTACCAACTTGGCTCCTTATTTCTCCCAGTGCCGATCATTTGTCGTCTTAGCCTGGCTCTTAGCATGTCCATGGCAATTCTTGAGGCATTTTTTTTCGTTCGCTGCCATTTATTTGGGTCACGGACAGTCATCTCGCTCACCGACATCGGCTATCCTTGTCTTTACAGGTTTTTCGACTTTTACTTGCAACTGACATTGGACATTCCGTTTTTGATATTATTTTTCTTTTCTATTTTTGTTGGTTCCGTGTTGCTTCTTTTTTTTTTTTTTGATGGATTTTTAAAAACAATATCATTTTTTTTTTGGGTGGGGGAGGAGGTCATGTTGAGTAAGCTGAGAAAACAGCTGTTTTGTTGGTATTATTCTGAATTTTCAGCCACCCACTGTCTAATACACAGAGGGAAAAAAAGGTATCAGTATCCTCTACAAATTTTATGATTTTTAAAACCGATTGGTAATAGTTTTCTGTGTATCGGGATGGATTTTTCGATTTTCGTTTATCGATCTTGACATTTGTGGCACACTTTTCGATTTAATGCTTGATCTCTTTATCTTTTTTTTTAGAGAAGAAGGAGGAAAGCTAAAGAATGGGAGAGAATAATGGCCAAGCAATGGCGAAGAAAATTTCACAGCTCTTACCATGACTTTGGTTTTCGAACCCGACCCCACAAAGATCAAGACAGCTCCCCAAAAAAAAAAGATATACTACTATATATTGTCTAAAAAAAAACTTTAACAACTGTGCAAATAAAGCTAAAGAATAAAAATAAAAAAAAAAAAGCACCACCTGTGGGAGAAAGAGAACAAAACAAAGAAAGAAATACAAGAAGAACCACATGTAAAATGAAAAACCAAACAAAACCATTTTACAATTGTGGCGCGATCTTATTGTTGTTGTTGTTTAGGTGTTTTGGTGTTGCTTTTGTTATTGTTATTGTTGTTGGTGGTGGTACTAGTGGTGCTGGTGGTGCTGCTGCTGCGGAAAGTCGGAAAAATCAGTCAATGGAACGTCACGGCAGAGGCGCAAGAACAGCAGCAGCGACGCCAACCGCAGCAGCGCAGCTTTTGGGGGGCGGGCTAGAGAGTTCAATGAAATGCTAGTAAAAAAAAAATACCAAGGGGGGAGGGCCTAGAGGCCTAGAGGCGGAGGCGTAGCAAAAAAAAAGAACAGGAATAGAGAACAAAGTAATGAGATCTATTTAAACTTTCCATTTAAAAGCAATTATTAATAACTATCTTTAAAAATATTAACAAAGATTTTGAAAAAAAGATAGATTTTTGAAAAATTATAAAAAATATTGTTTTGAAATACGTATATAATTTTTAGATTATAAATTATGGTTACTTCACTCACCTCTTCAACTTTCTGCTGCATTTTGTTGGTTATTCTTATTGGTTTTCTTATTTAATTAGTGCTTCCTTAATTTTCGAATCAAAACACTGAACAAAACAAAAATTTGCAAAAAAAAAAGTGTAATATTACTTCCTTTTTGGTTGGCAGTTAAATGTTTTGTTTTTCGTCAACTTGTTTTCAATAAAAACACTTGCACTTTTTTAGACAAACAGAACAAATGTTCTTCTGCAATTTCAGCTTTCTTCCGCCTCCTTTGATTACTTTTCTGTTTCCTTTTCCTTCTTTGGAGAGTGTGGGTTAGTTAGAAGATTGCCGTTGCGCGCGCGCAAAAGGTGGGAGCCAAAAAAAAAAAGATATTGTAGTGACAACAAACGGTTAACGGGACACGAGCAAGCGGTGGAACGACCAGCGCGCAGAGACAGCTCAAACTCGAATGTAGAATGCATTGGCTCCACTTCAAGTTTTAGTCTTGCGGTAGCCTATGGGAGCTTGCAAGATCCAGTGCTGCCAGATGGCCGAAACGAGAGCACTCGCTCTTCGAGAGAGTAAAATCCACAGGAAAAACGGGTTTCTTTACAAACAACAAAGTCAGCTGTTTTAAGGACAAATAAAATTTTAAATTAGTATTTACATTTAATTTATAACAAAATATTTAAAAGAAATGAACTTAAACTGCTGGCGCCTATTGATTAGAGTTGCCATATTCGGTAAGAGCTTGATTGAAACAATCGATATCAACTATCGAAAGCTCGTATTGGTGCTTACCAGACGAATGACTGTAACTACCACCACTAGTTTGGCGTTGCCATGGTAACGGTTTTTCAAATAACGAAATGAAAGAAACTATAAATAGTAAACAAAACAAGGATATGTATTTTTAAATCAAGCAGGCCTTGAGATATTAAAAGTCAATTAATAACGTATTAAAAATGATGCACAAGGGCAAGGACATGAAACGCACTGGAGTATATCGTGTGAGTGGCAACATTGCAGACTTCCAATTGCTTCTGAAGCTGCGACACATCAGCGAATGGCTGCCGGTGCCGAAATTGGAGTACAACGGAGCCCAAGGTACGGGCGAACAGCCGGAAACAGACGAGGACCGCTGGTCAGACTGCCTCATTCATATACCGCAGGACGATGATGTGTATGGCAGTGGACGGAATCGCATTGGGTATTATGGCTGTTACTATAGCTTTCCCAGTGGAGGTGGCAGTGCCAGCCACCCCGTCACCGCCATGGTACGACGGCGCAAGAGTCCCAGATCCCCCAGAGCTATAGAGGCGCCGCCTGAAGTGCGGGCGGAGGAAAATCTGAAGAAGCAAGAGAAGGAGGATGAGGCGGAGGAGAAGAAGGAAGTGGCGAAGAAGCTTCCAGCCATCGAAGCGCCGGAGTCTCACAAGGACGGATCCCATGAATCGCAAGAGGCCGTCTACCAGGATCCGCAGAGGACTTCTTTCCCCGAGAATAGCGCCGATATGTTCTACGAAAGAAACCGAGAACTGTGCAATGGAGCCATGGCCTCCATTTGCATATCCTGGCAGCAGAAATACTTCAGTCACCCGGAACTTCAGCGCCAGCTTGCCGATCTGGGTGCATGTGCCTCCAAAGCCCAGAAGCGCTATCATAACTGGGCCCTGGAGATACAGAATCTGCAGCAGCTGCATCTCCAGAAACTGGAGCAGCAACGAGAGCGTATCCAGGAAAGAGAACAGGATCTGGAGCGAATGCGAGTGCGTCGCAAGCCGCGGAAAACACGACCGCTGAGACCTCGTCCTGGGGTGACCGCCCTCACCACAATGCTCGTCAGTAATGGATTGTCGTCGGCCAGCACGTCGGAGGTTTCGCTGGCGGATGACCCGCATTTTGCGGCTAGGACCTGCCTGGTTTACACCCTGGTGGATGGTGATTCCGAGGACATGCTGCCCCGGGAGGCCCACGATATCAAGAGCAAGGGCCATCAACTGATGTATGTGTACGCCGATTTGCAGCAGAAGACCCTACTTGTCACCCTACGGTACGATCCTGTCCAGGGCCTGCTCTATGTCTACCCGGACTTCAGTGCGAGTGCCCAGGATCTGGACTATGTGGTGGTCGTTGAGAGGGAAAACGATTGCCGACAGTTGTATGCTTATGGTTTTGAGAACGCCACGCCCTTGCAGTTGGTGAAAACGGTTGAGAATGTCCGGCAGGATGGGGAGGAGTCGGAGACAGATTCCGAGGATGCCGAGGACCTTCCAGGCGATAGAACGGCCTTGGAACTATTGGACTACCATCAGCGTCAGAGGTTGGATGCCACGGAGTTGCGTTACCTGCTCCATTTCGATATGCCGCCCAAGCGGATGCGCCGGATCTGCGTGCTCCTGGAGCTGCAGGAGGCCCAGTTCTTTGAGCGTCCCAACATCCATGTACGATACTATGTGCAGCCGCCGCAGCACACCCTCTGGGAGTCGTCCATGGGCACCGGCGCGGACGATCCCCTGAGAGGATCGACTGCCACATGCCGGAACGCGGGTGACTTTCGGCTGGCCAATCTGGGTCACTGCTGGCAGGTGACCCTTCTCTGCGAGGAGCACTACCAACCCAATGAACTGATGCACATCTACTTTGAGGTCGTTTCCATTGATTTCTGGCAACGCGAACGCTGCGAGGGCTATGCCCATTATTCCTGCTCCTTGATCTCTCCCTTGACTAGCGAGACCGTCAAGATGCAGTGCATCCGGCCACTGGGCAGCTGGTTGGATTCCCTGAATCGTTACTTCATTGGCGGTCGGAAGCTCTTTGACTTTGTCTCGTACTTCGATGCCCAGAATGCTGAGAAGGATATCCACAATCGCTTGAACTTGGACCCCGGCAGGGCCATGAGGAGCACTGGCTACCTCGTGCTCCATGTCCAGAAGTTGCAGCAGCGCCACGTGGAGAATTCGGTCGGGCAGCTACAACTGGATTTGTGCGACAGCTCCACCGAGGCCAGTGGTTCCGACGAAGATGCCAAGTCCGGCTCGATGACGGACACCGCCAGGGCCACCACTCTGGACGAAGTGATGACCGCCTATGTGGAGGCCAGGGAGAGAATAGAGTCCCTCCTGGGAAGAGCCATAGAAGCTTAGTGGCAGCGAATTCTAAGAACCAACATCGAATTACCGAAGTATACTTCCAGGCTTTCATATTAAATTAAGAAATTTTTTTTAAATTATAAAAAACTTTTTGTTTTCTAAAGTTTTAATGCAGTGTGGTGGGGAATTCCTGTATAAATCTTTAAAGGTGTTCCTTTTAAAAATCGGATGTGAATTGGCTGAGATATAGCTATGGACATGGACCATATATGAAAATCCAGCATTTTGCAGGGGACCCCCCACAAAAATATGAAAAATTTTGAAAAAATATTTTGTATCAGGATTTTGATGCAGAATGACGGGGAATTCATCCACAAATCGTTTGAGGTACTCCGCTCAAGAATCGGATGAGAATTGGCTGAGCTATAGCTATGGATCTGAGCCACATTCGAAAATCCCGCGTTTTAAAGGGGAACCCCACAAAAATAGACGTATCCCTAAGAAGTCCTTGCTCTTCTATAAAGCATGCTGTTAGGCATAGGTGCTGCACAAGCCCCAAAGCTAATAAATACAAGTGGGGCCCATTTTTGATCGTTAGTTTAGCCATTTTATTTACTACTAATATCACTCAGTGTATATACATAGATTCGTTTGTGTCTTTTGTCGGGTTTTGTGTGTGTGTGTTTGTGTTTTTGTTTTTTTTTTGCGTGCGTGGGTGTGTGTGTGTAGATACATAACATATATGCGTGTATATAAGGTATAATATCATATATAAAATTGTGCTCCGTGTATAACACTAAAAAATGATAAAAAAAAATTTCGCTAGCTCTGTGATTTTTCTTTTTTTTGTGTCTTCCATGTTGGTTTTTTTTTTTTTCTTCCATTTTTGCCGGTTGTAATTGCACTTAAAAAAAAAAAAACTAAATACTTGCAGCTGGGAAATCGGGAGGTTTTTTTGGGGGAGGACGGGTAAGGGATAGGTAGTTGGAGGGGGGGGTATCAGGTCACAAACTTATGCCACGGGCAGATATTGACGGGAGGGCGTCACCAGGGGCGTCTTTGGGGCCTGGTAGTTGTAGCCATTTCCGCTTCCGTAGTAATCATTGGCAGCACCGGCACCGGCACCAGCACCAACGCCAGCTCCGGCTCCAAAGCCAGCTCCAACTCCGCCGTAGGGAGCACCGAACAGCTGTCCGTTGACGCCTCCCTGCTGGGGCTGGTAGCTGTAGTCGTCACCGCTCTGGCCGCTGCCCCTCAGGGGTCCCTGGTCGGAGTCGAGGGTCTGCTGCAGGAACTGGAAGCGGTTCTTGTTGCCCAGCAGGCTGCTGGGGTCCACAGTCTGGCGCTGTCCAGCAGAGGCCAAGGGCTGGGGCCTACAAATTAATAGTTTTATTTATTAAAAATATTCTAATAAATAAAACAAGGACACTGGGTCCTGTTTAGGAAGCTAAAACTCACTCGGGAATATCCAGATCCAGTTCAGTGATGGGATGGTAACCGAACTCATCGGCGGTGTAGCGGGTCTTGTAGCGCTTGCCATCGGCGCCAGTGAAGGAGTAGGAGCCGCTCACCACGAAGGTCTTGTCGTCCTTGAGCTTGCCCACGCTGCTGACCTCAATGCCGTTCTGGGTCTTCAGTCTGTTTAAGAAAAGGGATAATATATTTAATAAAATATATAGTAGGATATACCATATAATATTGTATAAAAGAAGCTAAGTAGTTACAAAAGTTACTCTAAGGATTAAAAAGAACAAATCTTTATGGATCTGTAGAACTATTTATATTTTATACAAAGATTAACTTTTTAATGCTTTCCAATAATATTTTCAAAAAATTCTGCTATAAAGATTTATTTTCATAGGTTCCTTATAATTTCTCTTCTATTCGAAGGAATTATCTAAGGATTAGAAAATGAACTTTGAATAAAGCACCGAAGATCAATAAAATATTAAAGATCTTAAGTGGAAGAAAGGTATAATATTATCATGTGAAAAACTCTAGACTCTAGTGTCTAGATTATCCTAAGAAAAAGGTATCCCTATCCATCCCCTATCATCCTAAATCCTTTCAAAGTTTGAAATACCTTTTAAAAAAAGAACTAAATATCCTAAATCCTATTTTTATCCTATAAAAATCTACGTCGTTTTCGGGTAATATTTTCCTATTTCATACATATATGAAATATCCAAATATCCTATAATCTATTATATAGATTCCATATATATAAAATTTTCTAGAAAATAAAGAACTCACTGCAACTTGAACTTCTTGCCGGAGTTGTAGTTGGTGAGCTCCTCGGTCTTGGCCTTCATGACATCGCCACTGAAGTGCACGGCTGGCTTGTCGTCGTCGATGTCCTCGGGCAGGGTATAGATATCGCTAGGATTGTACTTGAACAGATCCAGATTGCGATCTGTCAGATGTTTGACATCGGCGGCCGCCAGAGCCACGAAACCCAAAAGAATCAGCTAAAAAAAAAGGAATTTCAATTAGAAATCAATAAAAATAAAAAATAAATCTTAAACATCTTAGATGAAAAAAAAATTCATTCATTCAAAAGATACAAGTGTGGCAAAGACAAAGCCATTAATAGATGCTCCACTTGTATAGCGTTTAAAAAAAAATCGTTTTCGAATAAATCACTGACAACTAGCTGGGTGCTTTAAATGTTCAACGTTTCAATTTCGATTGGGTTCAAATTTTAAATATACGTATATGTTTTTTGTAGATTATTGTCTTTAGTTTTTTTTTTGTATGAATATAAAAAATGTGTGCATTAGCGGGCAATTAATCAAAGTCGCGCGCGATTCGCTGGCGTTTCTGGTCGTCGTCGTAGTCGTCGCCGTGTCTCGCGACGCGTTTTAGCCGTGATTACTGATTTATTTGATTTGGTTTCGGGCCGAGGCACTAATCATAATGGTCTCCAACCGTTTCGATATTTGTCATTCGTCTCTTTTGACGTCTGATCTTCATTCTGTCAAGGTGACTTTATATTTGGTCTTTTGGCATATATATTTCTTTAAAAAATATTTATATGAAACTTTACTAGACACTTTTTTTTTCTTTTAGCCGGTCGTCACTTTCACTTTTGATCCTTTCACAAAAAAAAATACATACTATTGTTTATTGGTTTTTTTTTATTTATTTTTTAGGCACTTACAAAACTCTTCATTTTTGTTTTTTGTGTTTTGATTTTTGGTGTGTGGTGGTGGCGAAAAAAAATTCGAAAACGAGGATATTGGTATCTGCTGAAAGGGGGACTCCTCGATCGGCCTGTTCCGATGCTCTAAGATTCTAGCAAATAAATACAAACGATGCGACTTCTTGTTTCCTTATATATGATCTTAGTCAAGCGGCTCTGCTGCTGCGACGCCGGCAGAACTAGGAACCGGACAACGAACTGAGTCTCAGCCAGCGTCTCGGTCGGCGTTGCACAGTGGTATCGAATACCTGAAAGGTATATGGTTTCAAAGAGAAATGGTGTTTGGATAACTATTTTAGACATTTTTGGATAAAAATAGAATTTCTTAAATTTATTTCAATAATTACATAATGTACTGATTGATTTCAAGTAGTTAATACAGTGAAAATGTATTCTTGCAGAGGTTTCTTTCGAAGAAACTATATATTTACAAAAAAATATACAAAAGTAACCATATAATAATGACTTTCTTGATTATTATTAAGAACTTTTTGCATAATGACTCACAAGAACTAGTTTAAAGCACATTTATTTTAAAACTTGTATTAAATTTAAGGTTTTATTAGTTAAGCTTAAGAGAATTTTAGTTTAAAAGTATCTAACTTATAGAGTTTTACACTAAAAACCCTATTTTAATAAGCTAAAACTGTGTCTCTTTTTTTAATATCAATCGTAGCAATGAAATATCCAATATCCAAAATATTAACTGAACTTTTCGCAACAATAAATATTAAAAACCACTTTCCATATTCCCAGACATATAGTTATACCCAAATAATAGTAAATAACCCCACTGTATGACTTGGCCACTTAACAAAGAATGAGAATAAAAAGCCAAAGTTTGTCAACTGTCCGGCCAAAAAAAAAAAAGATTGGAAAGACTAGTGGGAAGAGGTGGGGGATTAGCCCAGTAGAGGGGCCCAAAGAATCATCAATCTATAGATCGGAATACCGCTGAACCATCGCAGATGTAACAGTTTAGGGCCTTTGGATTTCTGGGAGGTAGGGAGGGATTTTTAAGATAGACTGGGTGGTTCGGTGGATTGATACTTTTTTTCTCGATTCGATTCTCGAATGCGGCTTTTTCGACTTTTGTTGCTGACGGAGACTGATCGCAGCATAGAAATCTGGTTTCTGGGCAACAAAATTAGAAAACCGCCATCATCAAATTAGCATACACGTTTAATGACGGTTTTTTTTTTTGTCATTTTTTCTTGAGTTTTTTTTTTCCATTTTTTTTTGCTGTATGTGTGCATGTGCGTAAATTTAAATCGGTGTTAATTTTTTATAAAGCATGGAATATATATATATATATATATATATATATATGTTAGGAAAAGAAATATATACTAACTAGCGGTTGATAAAATATGCGTTAGATGGACGATTAACGTTTTTGGGCGACCAGTTTGTGGATTGAATCCGTAAGATACATTCTGCTGAATGAAACCAATCTTGTGGATGGCAAAGACATTGATGGCGATACTTTTGATAAGCGCTGAAGTGGTAGATCTCTCATAGCACATATCCATATAACATATAGCATAAAACTCATAGTCGCATATGTTAATGCATCAGGTCTCGTTCAGCCTTCGTTTAATTAGTCGTTCCGTTTCGATTTGGTCTTATCGAATTTATCAATTCTTTTTTTTGGTTCTTCTCAATTCTTTATTTCATATATTTATTTTTTCTATTTTTTTGAACTGGCGGATCAGTGTCTGTTGGGGATTTGAAGATCGTACAGGGTCATCGGAGTTGATGGGATTTTTCGGTAGCTTTTCATCGTTTTGTATTTTCCTCATTAGCATACTTATTAGGGGTCACCCTAATGGCTCTATTTAAAAATAATGATTTATTTGTAAACGTTTGGCTTAAGGTTTTTTTTTTATTGGCCTTCACAATCGTAACTTAATTTAAATTAAATACTTATTATTTTAAACTGAAACATATCTTCAAGAGAACTTTAATGCTAATCTTAAAAATAAACAACAGACTTATTTTAAACCCGAAATGCTAAAAAAATAAACAAAACTTATTTTTAGTAACTTCCTTATCAAAACTTTATGGCTTTCTCAAGGAGAAAATCAACAAAATTATGATACTGGATTTTTTAATATATCCAGTAAAAGTACGACCAAAAATCAAGAAATATTACTTTCCCAACAAAAAAAAGGTAAATAAATAAAGCTAAATAAAAAAATAGAATAAAAATGGGGGAAAAAAGATAAGATTGAAATCAAACCGGACCGGACACGGAGCTCTAATGATAATCGCTAATGGTGCCTCTAATTTAAGTTTTATGCTTAATAACTTAAACGAATGCCGCACGGCATTCATTTTTCATCGCCACAGATGATGATTCTTCTTCTGGTCTTCAGCTCTCAGAAGACTCAGAAGACTCTAAAAACTCGACCTAATGGAAACGCTTCAACAGCTTGTCCAAGACAGCCTTGGAAAACTAACTGAAATCCGATTTTTGGCTCGGATTCAGATTCAGATACCGATTTTTTATGCAGACTTGATGCATACACGCCCTGACTTTGATGTCTCACTTTGCGGAGAAGGAGTGGCTCTTAACTGAGTCATCTTCGTTATTTTTTTTAATAGAATTAAAGCAAATCGAATTAAATTAATTATCATCGATGTGATTCCAGGTAAAAGCCTTTTCAGCTGCCGCATCAATATTCATTCTCTTAGCTTGAATTTTGCCATTTGCATAGCGAAAAGAAAGTGTTTCATTTGCCCGTGTCTTGTCTCTGAATTTTATTACTATTATATATATCTGTATCTATATATCTGCATATATATAACTCTATATATATACATCGTTGATTTCTTTGGCAAATTAACAGATGGAACAACTTGTTACGCAGGCCGCTTTGAAATTTTGCCGAATTCAAGATGCGAATTGGAGTTATTAAAAGGGTATTTTAGCTTTTAAAAAAGGCTTAAAAAAATATCATTAAAAGCAGTAAGAAGTTTAACATATAATGAAGTTTTTAAAGGATTTTTTTAGTGGTATAGTAGCCTAGGAGGATCCTAGGAACTTCATTAATATTTAATCTCATTTCTAGACTTTTTGGCCATTATTTATATGAATTCTACAAAAAGGCCCTTTAATTCCTTTAGAAAACTCTTAATTCTTACAAAACCAATATCAAATAAGCTTAATAAAATGTTTATTATAATTTAAGAGCATTTAAAAACCTTAAAACTCGTATTAATTCGTTTCTCTGTTTATTTTTCCCCGTCAACGCTTAACCAAAACAATAAAGAAAGAGCTGAACAAAAAATAAAAAAGAGTATAAAATAAATAAATAAATTAGCAATTATAAGGAGACAGAAACGAGATTTCCAAGAAACAAAAACATTCAGTTCTATTCCCCTTCTTTTATTTTTTTTCTAAATATTCTCTTTTTTTTTCTTGCCCTTGAGTTTGAAGCCGGGATTAATGATGTAAAAATTATGTAAAATGTGAGATTGATCAGGAAAACGTATCGACTTTATGAAATCAGGCCCTAAATTTGACTAGCATGACGATGAACGAATCATTAAATGGGACTTTGATTAAAGATGATGATTTAAGGCAATGGGGGGTCTTCAGTAGCCACCAGACTTCCTCTAAAAGTTTTGACCAAAAAAAAATAAGGTTCTTTCAACAATTCCTTGATCGATATTAGCGGAAGTTTGTCAGTGGGTCTTGAGAATATTCCATTGATGTTTTAAGGTCGATTCTATTAGATGTTCCAGCTTGAATGAATTTTTACTAAAAAATATACCAAATATGTTAAATAAATGATAATTCAACTAATTAATATTATAAAGTAAAGCTTATACTTTCACTAAAACCTTTTTCTCTCAGTATTCCATTTGAAACTTCTTATGATCTAACTTCTGATTAATTCTTATAAATATTGTGAACGAGCTGTATCATAACTTCCAAGTCTTTATGCTTAATTTGTGCCGGTTATTAGCTAAATTAAGACAATATCTTTCAGTGCATCTATTAATTGATTCATATGCAGATCACTTTATGGGCCCATCCTTATACATACATCTCGGCCATAAATCTGGATCACCCCCCATTCACACTTTAGTCCCGATCTATATGTGGACATACACAAAACCTATGCATATATTCTTATATTTTTTTTTTTGGAAATTTAAAAACTTGTTCATAATGTTGTGTCCGTTAATCCATAAACTGATTTGCATCGGGGCACATGCCACCCACTGGCCCCCTCCCGGAATTATATCATATCATGTATCGGTATCATTATTTAAATGAATACTTGTAGGTGGATGGATGACAACGCCCCTCGATTTCTTGATTTCGATATGGGTAGATCGGGTTCTTCGATAGAACATCCCCATAGTGTGATACGTGATTGAATCTGAATGGAATATTAAAAATCAGTTATGGCTGCACGTTCTGAATCAGTTAAGATCCAGTTGCTGGCCATAAATAATATCTGGCTAAATCATATTTTATGGCCAACTTAAGGAAATACACACTCGACTCGTCGTACGCTGGCCCGGCTACAGTGACCAAATATTGATTCTAAAATTCTAGCTCTCTAGAACCTAAAGAATAAAAAAAAAAATCACACACAGCCCATCCAAAACCAACTAAATCGAGTTGCGATCAGGTTCTCTGTGGTCTTTGACCGGTTATGCATATTCCTACCAAAAAAAAAAAAAAATATATATATATAAAAATAAGAAACGCTCCTTTTTATGGCTGTTTTCTACAGTTTATTTTATTTTTTTCACCTGTTTTTTTTTTGTCTTAATTTTTTTTTAGGCAAGGGTGGAGGGTAAGGGGATTTATTTTTTTGTCAGCCATAGAAATAAATAATCAATGCGAATTTGCATAGTTTAAATAGAAAGCTAAACACGTTTTGCTTTTACCCCAAAACGTAAAGTTATCTGTCCGTCTGTCTGACTTTTTTGTAGTTTCTGGCGAATTTGTATAATTAAGACCAGTTTTTTTTTTCTTATGTTCGATTTAGGGGAGTATTAAGTTCCTTTCAATATAGACAGATATCAGAGAGACAGTGCGGTATATAAATTATATTGAAACAGAGATTATTCAAGTGCGTCAGAAGTGCGTTGGAAAGTGGATTCTGCATTAATAATTTATGAAATTTATGGGTCTCTGGTTCGCTTTTTTTTCAGGAATACTAATTTAGATTTAATTTAATTTAATAATATATTTAAATCGTGTTCTAAAACTCTTTGCGATACCCGTTTTTGAAACTTGTTTAACCATAAACTTAAATAGGTGTTTTGTTCGAAATTTAATTTGACATGATTTTTTTTCTTCATTTTATTTTTGGCTTAAAAGCCTCATTGTTTGCTTTTTTATACTTTTTGTGCATTAAGTGCTCTTAAAGGCATTGTATTATAGGCCTTACAGTCGCGAAACTGGCTGTATTTTTGGTTAATTTATACTAGATCGAATACGAAAGATCTAGACAGGGCGTGACAACAAGTGCAGAATCGATATCCAGAATCCGAGAACCGATATAACGCATAAAAGTGTCACCATTTGAGGCCATCGTCATTCAATTAACTCTGCCTCACTAATTCCATTAGAATTTTATTGGGATCATAAATCTTTTCGAATCGATATCCGAAGACTTCAATAAAACACTGAAAGCCGAAAAGAAACTTTATTCTTTGTTGGACCGTCCAATTAATAGTTCGTAATCGTAGTACGACTTTATGACTTGTTTATTTAATAATTTATTTGAGTTTTCCGCAACGCACGGATCCGGTCAACGAAGCGAAACCGAAAAATCCAGTTTTTTAAGACGATTTTTCAGTTTTTTTTGGCTTGTTAGCATTTTGTGCGCACACTTGTCTAAAAATAGCTTAGAAAAAACCCCAAAAAAAACTCGAAAAATTAAGAATAATTAATTTTGAAGTTGGAAAAACAGTTTTGGGTGGCACTGGTCCACTCTAAACCCCCCTCAAGGGCACAAATTTTGATTGGGAACTATGTCAATCATCATGTCAGGAGGTCACTATGATATTTTAACTCTTTTAATAAGAAAACCTGTTTATAGTACGTACTACACTAATAGAAACATAAACTTTTATATCGCAATAATATTATCCATTCTAAGCTCATCCTGTTTCGATTGCATCGCTTCGATTGTTTTGTTTATTTTTCAAATCAATCATTTATTGCCTCAAACTCAAAATCAACAAGTTCTTAAATTGCTTAATGATCCACCGACTGCCCAAGCTTTCAATTAACTTGAAAGACAAATCAATCATTCGACTTCCCAGATTCGCATAAATCAGCTCTAGAGAGAGAGTGCCCCGGGTTCTATCCTCCCCAAAAAAAAAAAAAATAATAATTTGCATATATTTTTTATTGGCAGAAATAATCGGATCTTTATATTGTTGGCATAATGCCGTTATATGGGCTTTTTTCCGCCACAATAGACACCCCGTGGAGTGAGAAAATTCGATTCAAAACACTTGCTCTACTTCCAAACGCTTACAGCGCAGACAGCGCGACTCCAAGGAACGCACACAGATGAAGATACGGTCACACATACCGATATATTATCTCATCAGAGATGTCACAAGTTTGGAGCTTTTATTTTTCAAAAATAATGTTCCATCTTAAAAAAATATCTTAAAAGTTTTGTAAATAAAAGAAAATATAATAAATAATATTTATATTAAATAAAGAATTAAAGAAAAGCTTAAACCATCCCAGCATCTCAATTTAATTTAAAAAAAAATGTATGAGCGAGATCGAAATGTAATCAAGCTGGGGCCCTGATACCAGGTGCGAGTGGGATGAGGCGAGACGTGAGAGCCGAAGCGCGTGCGCGACTGTCATGACAGCTAATTATAAACGATGCCGCTCTCTGTGGTACAGTTAGACACACATTCGCCAATATTACGTATACGTACGAGTGTACGTGCGATCGCATGCGGTGTAGCTGTGTGGGTGACGCGTGCGGCGCATGCGCAGCTTTTTAGTCGATTGTTGTTTATTGTTGTTATTGCTTAATCAACCGATTTTTATCTACCGATTTTTAGCGTCGCGACTTTTTGTCTCTTATTTATTATTTTTGTATTTCTGTTTTTGCCTTACACATGTCTCATTTAATATTTAATGGCCCACGGTAACAGTCCCTGCGGCTGCTTCGTCTGCTTCTTCTTGAAGCTTGATTCTTTATCCCCCTTCTTCTCGTTCTTCCCCTCCTTTGTCAGAATCTTTAGCTTATTTAGCTTAGTCGCCTCTTTATTTTTTTGTCCATAAATTATTATTGTTTTTGTTGCCTTTATTGGTTGTTTTTGGGTCTCATCATAATTTGCACCTGCACGAGAATCGCACTCGCAAATTAGGTGCGTTTCCAGGGGCTCCCGATGAGGAGAGGGTGCGGTTCGAGGGGGGGATTCTTCCGAGAAGAGGAGGTTAGATCACAGTGAATGCAAAAAGTTAGCATTTATGATTAACACAACAATAAATATTATGTTTCTATCAATTAAGCAGAAATATTAGTGATCGCTTTACCAAATGGTTGAAGTTTGTGAAGGACCTTAGGAAAAATGAATCTTATATTTTTTATATTTTTCATAGAATATTAATAATAATGATAATCCTCCATAGACTTTCCTTATTCAGTGTTCTTTAGGTGTCAGGCTATAATATACACAAGCCCATAGAGAAGAAAACACGTTTGACCATTAACGACCACTGACTTTCATTAGATAGATGGCCAAAATCCAGTTCCCCTTCTCCATTTCTGAGTGGGTGCCTTTGTTGGGTAGCATCACCCATCGCTATACCCACAGACAGAGTGGTGAGCATCATGATACCCAAGTCATGGATCTATTTCTATTTCCATAGACATTTCCGCTTACTTAGGCGCAACAATTTAAAAATTGACAGCTCCGCGGTTGCCAATTAATCTTCCAAATCCAGATAAATTGCTATAAATGTCTTTCCTAGTCGAGTTCATAAATTAAATCAACTCTAAATTGATAAAAATAAAAACAAAAACAGTGAGAAGAACCAAAACCTAATACTGGTTCCTTTAAAAAGAATTAAAAAAAACAAAAACCGTGTGACGTGGGAGAATTGTGGGTTGATTATAGTTTTATTTAAAAATCGTTGACCCTACAAGAATTAGCCACAAAATATTGTTTCCTTGTAGTTTTAAGATTTTTTAATCCATTAGAGCATAAAATCCAACCTGTGCATATCTTTTCCACACTATTTTTATAGAGTATCAGCCGTTTCAAAATGCTAATCATGGTAAATTGTTTATTTTATTATGCAGTTGCGTCATGGGATTAATTAACTATCAACGATTTCGATTTTTACGGATTTGTTCTGCCTAATTGAATAGATCATCGCAAACGGTGAGGTGAAAGGTTCTTCAACAGTTCCTCGTTTTTTTATGGCTGAATATTGATTTGATTTTGTCGAATGCGGAAGCATTAAGCGATTTGTTTGCCTTAAACAATTGCAATCAATTATCTATCGATCGGATGGACTAAAAGCATTCATCAATCAGATAGTTTTTGCTTGCTGCTCCCACACACTATATATTTATTTATATATATTTGTAAATATTTTTGTTGCTCAGCCTGGAAGTGGAACTTTAATCTTCTTGCCCTAAAAAATATGCTACAGAAAAGTTGTTTTTTCTTAAGGGTTTTATTTTCTTATTGGTAAAAAAACAACATTATTGTATTTTCATTACTTTTTTCTTCTTTTATATTTATTGTTTTACAATCAAAGTGATTAATAATTGTTTAAAGCTTTTAATGATTTTTAAAAAAACGTTACGATTTGTTAAAAGTGGCGGGAAAACAAATTTAAACCATGTCTTAGAGTCCCTCGATAAGTCTATCGATATTTCTCATACTTTACCGTCTCTAACAGAGAACTTCCATCCCTAAAAGAAATCTTCAAGATTTTGTTTACCCGGAAAATGCAATAGAATTCAAGATATAATGGCCAACGCAGTGATGGTGCTAGACAACGGGGCACACACCGCCAAGGTGGGTCTAGCCAACCAGGATGAGCCTCAGGTGGTGCCAAACTGTATAATGAAGGCGAAGAGCGAGCGAAGGCGGGCGTTTGTCGGCAACCAAATCGACGAATGCCGGGACACATCTGCACTGTTTTACATCCTGGCCTTTCAACGCGGATACCTTCTCAACTGGGACACACAGAAGACCGTTTGGGACTATATATTCAGCAAGGAAGGCGTCGGTTGTACCCTGGAAAACCGTCAAATTGTGATCACGGAGCCGCAGATGAACTTCCAGGGCGTCCAGGAGGCGATGCTAGAGATGCTTTTTGAAGAGTACCGGGTGTCTGGAATGTACAAGACTACATCCGCCGATCTGGCCGCCTTCAACTACGTGGCAGACAGCGAAGATCGCACTACAATGCAGTCCCTCAACTGCATCATTATTGATGTCGGCTACAGTTTCACGCACATCGTTCCCTTCGTCCTGGGCCGGCGAGTCCTTGAAGGCATCCGACGCATCGATATGGGTGGCAAGGCTCTGACAAATCACCTCAAAGTATGTAGGGTTCTCTAATATGATGCCATTACTAATTTTCTTCTCTTTCCAGGAGCTGATTTCCTACCGACATCTGAACGTTATGGACGAAAGCCATGTTGTGAACCAAATCAAGGAGGATGTATGCTTTGTGGCCGAGGACTTTAAAGAGGCAATGCGTGTGCACACGAGCGAGGAAAAGAGGCGTGAGGTGTCCCTCGATTATGTGCTTCCGGACTTTACCACCGTTAAGAGGGGATACGTGCGGATACCGGGAAAGCCCCGCGACGACGAGGAGCAGCAGCAGATGGTTCCCCTGTGCAATGAGCGCTTCACTGTACCGGAACTCCTCTTCAATCCCTCAGACATAGGCGTCCCTCAGGTGGGCATTCCGGAGGCGGTGGCGGATTGCTTGAAGGCATGTCCTTGGGAAGCGCATCGAGATCTGTTACTTAACATCCTGATTGTGGGCGGCAGCGCACAGTTTCCGGGCTTTCTGCCGCGCCTGAAACGCGACTTGCGCGCATTGGTGCCCGACGATCTGGAAGTTTCCTTGATTTGCCCCGAAGATCCCGTGCGATATGCCTGGTATGGCGGCAAGGAAATTGCCACCAGCCCGAACTTTGATGACTTTGTTTACACGCGCGAAGACTATGAAGAGTACGGCGTACACGGAATCAATCAGCGATGAAAGATATGAAAGCGATGTAATCTTAAGTATCTTAAACTATTAAAACAGTATCTCTTGTCTAGAACGTTTCTTGTCTATTTATATTCTCGGCTAGGTCGCAGGTTGATGGGTGCCTAGCACTAAGCTTTGTACAACTAAAATTTAACTACAGAACACAACTTAAATATTTAGAATTCGCTTTTGGAGTACAATTTACACGGTTCTTGCCAACAGAAATGAGATACTAGATACTAAGCTGCTATCGCGATCTGATCTCCATATACGTATATATAACTGGATTTTGGTTAACATTAGGGGTCTGCGAGGCGGGTGCCGGCGAGCCGGGGCGGATCATCCTCCGTCTTCGTCGTCGGTGCTTACATGCTGAACGATTCGCCGCATCCGCAGGTGCCCTTGATGTTCGGATTGTTGAATACGAACTCGCTGGACAGCTTCGATTCCACAAAGTCCATCTCGGTGCCTGGAATGTTTTTGTTACATAACGGCGAGGGGTCTAAAAGGAAAATGTCGACTTACCCAGAAGGGAAAGTTGCGCCTTCTTGTCGATGAACACCTTGACCCCATCCTGGACCACCTCTTCGTCCAGCTTATCTGCTGGCGGATGCAAATGAAATAAAGGGAAATCTAAGCTCTCGGATACTTGGCCACCAAAACTGCTTGGCTTACCTTTCTGGCTGGCATAGTCCAGTGTGTAGGACAATCCATTGCATCCACGTTGCCGCACACCCACTTTCAAGCCAACCTGCCGGAGAGAAGTATTACGATTAGATAGACACGAGACACGGGCTCCACCCAGGAGCACAGGAGCTTAACATACCATATCTGGCTTGTCCTGGAGCAGAGTCTTGATGCGCTGGACCGCCGCGGGAGTCTGGAAAGATGTAAAAACAGAAACGTAAACAACGGGGGGGTAAATATCAATAGTAACATCTGATCGGGGCAGAAGGGACTGTTACTTCATCAACACGCGCCGATTTCACCACAGACTAGATTCCTTCGTGATGCTTACCAGGGTCAAAGCTGCACGTGTCGGGATCAGTTTGCGACCCTTGACAGCGCGCACCGTCGCTGTAGCCACCACTCGAGTCGCCATCGCCCGTTTCGATCGCTTTATGTAATTTGTTTTGCTCTGCAATTTCCCACGACTTGCGATTCGAAAATATGAACCTACAATGGTGATGGCACTGCTGCCGATATATCACGTGCAACTATCGGTCAGTCACTCTGGACTGCCACTTAAGAATAATACAATTTTTATATGCTTTAGGTCTTTAAAACTGTTAAAAATAAAAGCAGGAAACTAGTAACCTTTTGACTTCAGGGTTTTATGACAGAAAAATCAAAGACCAAATCAGTATTTTGGAATTTGACATTTCATTGCTGTCACTGGCTAGAGAGAAAAGTTCACATCACTAATCAAAATTGAGTTTCACACAGATGACCGGAATTCCGTAATATTTTAAAATATTTTAGAAATTTAACAAAATGAGCAATCTGAAGCAAATGTACAAAATCCTCCCTGGCCTAGCCAGGCGGGCAATAACCACAGGGACATTGAGAACCCAAGTACCACAACTGCGGCTCCCGCAACTGATGCGCCAAGCTACCAAAACAAACTCAGCTGTTTCCAAATGCATGTTCAGAAGCATCCACACCACCCCGAAAGTGGTAAGTCTTTAGAAGCCATGTTTTTATAAAAAATAATACAAATGAGCAACATTTAGGATACTGCGGAGAACACGGCCGAGGGCAGCATTCCGCTGGTGGATCTTCAGTCCAAGTTGACATTGGTCTACACCTGTAAGGTGTGCGACAAGCGCAATTTGAAGACCATTTCCAAGGTGGCCTACGAAAAAGGGGTCGTTATTGTGAAGTGTGACGGCTGCTCCAAGCATCATCTTATAGCCGACAACCTGAAGTGGTTCTCAGATCTCAACGGGAAGCGCAACGTTGAGGAGATACTGGAGGAGAAGGGCGAAAAAGTTTATCGGCTGTCCTTATCCACCGATAATGTTGAGTTCCTTCCCAAACCAGAAGCTTAAATTATAATTACTGTTTTGTTTTAACTATAAACGAATGCGGCTTTACTGAGCAACTGCGTCATTTGGTGGGTGGTGGCTGGCGGCAAAGCAGTGACTAGCTGCTGGTGGTATTTCTGGCGGCATGGAGATTGGGGTCCCAGCATCAGATGCGTCAAAAACGTGGCTTCGTCAATGGGAAATTTTGTGTCGATGGCAGGGCCATTGGGAGTCATTTCCATATCCTCCAGGTCGAAATGGGGCAAGTATCGCTTCCAATAGCTAGTGAGGAATGTAATTAAGCACCCGGCCAATCGGATATGGTCCAGGCAGGCATAGAATCGTAACTCGTTGGCGGGTTTTGCCACAAAATCGTAGACGTGATGCAGGAAACTAGAGCAGACGGGGGATTTACCTTCCGCCAGGGTGTCAGAGATCATGTGGCTTAGCAGCAGACAATCTGGATGTATGCTACTGTCCCGGGGCTCTTGGTAAAGATGTAACCATACCTGGAATGGAGATAAAGAGACCTATGGATACTTTTACATGAGAAACTCTTAAAACGGAACCAACCGGAAATCCAACAAGGTCCATGGACCTCTCCAAAGCTGTTTGGATGCTCTCCAGACTAGACAGTCGGCAAATCCGCTTCACCAGGAGGCGCATCTGCTGCAGATCGGGATGAACAATGTCTGCTAACGACACAGCGTCCGATTGCCTAATCTCGGACCAATCCAACTCTCGGATGGCTGCCCAATCGGGCTGAATCTCGGACAGGGGTTTCTGTATAAAATGAAGTAGCGGAGCCTGTAACTCCCCCTTTCGAGTGTTCACAATTCCCGAGCAGAGATCTCGAATGTATTGCCTCCGTCCAGCCGAAGTGGAGCATTTTTCAAAAAACAAATGGGAATCAATCCGATCCGCCAGGGGCTCTCCAAAGCGCTCGAAACACTCGAACAGGTACACCAAAGCCTTCAGCATAGTCTCGATCAGTGATTGGGTGAGCCTGAGGCGTCTGTTCTGTGACCGCATCTCCTCCTGACAGGATCGCAGCCAGGTCAGAAGTTTCATGCAGTGTGGAGCCACATCCTCCATGCCTGTGGAGCTATTTATTGCCAATTCCTTTCGGATAAACAAATCCATCTTAGCTTCTAAAAAAAAATCAAAACAAACACAAGAAGGCTGCCAAGCTGTTTTTATATTCAAAAATGGTACTGCCAATTATCTACACGATCACAGATCGATAAGTATTATCTTTCTGACAACGAAGTATTTTTAAAAAAATTATAATCTTTGATTTGTGATTTCATCACTGTATAGATCTTTATTATATAAAAGATAATCTACATCCTGTAATTAATCATAATTTAACAAACATCGATATCAAGTCACGGTTTGATGAAGATCGATCTGGAACACATTAAAACAGAAATGTTATGGTAAGAACTTAATCCAAATCAAAAATTGGATGAAAATTGGCAAATATATTCACGAAGTAGTCCTCCGCACATGATTATCCAGCATTTGGAGAAGGAATCCATCATAAATTTATGAAGAATATTGATATCAAATCACGGTATCGGGTTTTGACACAGCCCGATGTAGAATTCCAAAACATTGATTAAAAGACATTCCGATTGAGAATCGGATGAAAATTGGCAAAGATATAGTCTTAGGAGTAGTCCAGATATGAATATCTACCATTATGGTAGATATTTTTTCATCGGAAAAATATGAAAAATTCGAAGTCAAAGTCACTGTAGAATGTTTGGATGCAGATCGACGTAGAATGCAAAAACATTGATTAAAAGACATTCCGATTGAGAATCGGATGAAAATTGGCAAAGATATAGTCATAGGAGTAGTCCAGATATGAATATCTACCATTTTGCAGGGAATCCATCGGAAAAATATGAAAAATTCGAAGTCAAAGTCACTGTAGAATGTTTGGATGCAGATCGACGTAGAATGCAAAAACATTGATTAAAAGACATTCCGATTGAGAATCGGATGAAAATTGGCAAAGATATAGTCAAAGGAGTAGTCCAGATATGAATATCTACCATTTTGCAGGGAATCCATCGGAAAAATATGAAAAATTCGAAGTCAAAGTCACTGTAGAATGTTTGGATGCAGATCGACGTAGAATGCAAAAACATTGATTAAAAGACATTCCGATTGAGAATCAGAGGAAAATTGGCAAAGATATAGTCTAAGGAGTAGTCCAGATATGAATATCTACCATTTTGCAGGGAATCCATCGGAAAAATATGAAAAATTCGAAGTCAAAGTCACTGTAGAATGTTCGGATGCAAATCGATGTAGAATGCAAAAACATTGATTAAAAGACATTCCGATTGAGAATCGGATGGAAATTGGCAAAAATATAGTCTTAGGAGTAGTCCAGATATGAATATCTACCATTTTGCAGGGAATCCATCGGAAAAATATGAAAAATTCGAAGTCAAAGTCACTGTAGAATGTTTGGATGCAGATCGACGTAGAATGCAAAAACATTGATTAAAAGACATTCCGATTGAGAATCGGATGAAAATTGGCAAAGATATAGTCTTAGGAGTAGTCCAGATATGAATATCTACCATTTCGCAGGGAATCCATCGGAAAAATATGAAAAATTCGAAGTCAAAGTCACTGTAGAATATTTGGATGCAGATCGACGTAGAATGCAAAAACATTGATTAAAAGACATTCCGATTGAGAATCGGATGAAAATTGGCAAAGATATAGTCATAGGAGTAGTCCAGATATGAATATCTACCATTTTGCAGGGAACCTATCGGAAAAATATGAAAAATTCGAAGTCAAAGTCACTGTAGAATGTTCGGATGCAAATCGATGTAGAATGCAAAAACATTGATTAAAAGACATTCCGATGGAGAATCGGATGGAAATTGGCAAAAATATAGTCTTAGGAGTAGTCCAGATATGAATATCTACCATTTTGCAGGGAATCCATCGGAAAAATATGAAAAATTCGAAGTCAAAGTCACTGTAGAATGTTTGGATGCAAATCGATGTAGAATGCAAAAACATTGATTAAAAGACATTCCGATTGAGATTCGGATGAAAATTGGCAAAGATATAGTCTTAGGAGTAGTCCAGATATGAATATCTACCATTTTGCAGGGAACCTATCGGAAAAATATGAAAAATTCGAAGTCAAAGTCACTGTAGAATGTTTGGATGCAGATCGACGTAGAATGCAAAAACATTGATTAAAAGACATTCCGATTGAGACTCGGATGAAAATTGGCAAAGATATAGTCATAGGAGTAGTCCAGATATGAATATCTACCATTTTGCAGGGAACCTATCGGAAAAATATGAAAAATTCGAAGTCAAAGTCACTGTAGAATGTTCGGATGCAAATCGATGTAGAATGCAAAAACATTGATTAAAAGACATTCCGATGGAGAATCGGATGGAAATTGGCAAAAATATAGTCTTAGGAGTAGTCCAGATATGAAAATCCTGCATTTTGCAGGGAACCTATCGGAAAAATATGAAAAATTCGAAGTCAAAGTCACTGTAGAATGTTTGGATGCAGATCGACGTAGAATGCAAAAACATTGATTAAAAGACATTCCGATTGAGAATCGGATGAAAATTGGCAAAGATATAGTCTTAGGAGTAGTCCAGATATGAATATCTACCATTTCGCAGGGAATCCATCGGAAAAATATGAAAAATTCGAAGTCAAAGTCACTGTAGAATGTTTGGATGCAAATCGATGTAGAATGCAAAAACATTGATTAAAAGACATTCCGATTGAGATTCGGATGAAAATTGGCAAAGATATAGTCTTAGGAGTAGTCCAGATATGAATATCTACCATTTTGCAGGGAACCTATCGGAAAAATATGAAAAATTCGAAGTCAAAGTCACTGTAGAATGTTTGGATGCAGATCGACGTAGAATGCAAAAACATTGATTAAAAGACATTCCGATTGAGAATCGGATGAAAATTGGCAAAGATATAGTCTTAGGAGTAGTTCAGATATGAATATCTACCATTTTGCAGGGAATCCATCGAAAAATAAGAAAAATTCGAAGTCAAAGTCACTGTAGAATGTTTGGATGCAGATCGACGTAGAATGCAAAAACATTGATTAAAAGACATTCCGATTGAGAATCGGATGAAAATTGGCAAAGATATAGTCTTAGGAGTAGTCCAGATATGAATATCTACCATTTCGCAGGGAATCCATCGGAAAAATATGAAAAATTCGAAGTCAAAGTCACTGTAGAATGTTTGGATGCAGATCGACGTAGAATGCAAAAACATTGATTAAAAGACATTCCGATTGAGAATCGGATGGAAATTGGAAAAAATATAGTCTTAGGAGTAGTCCAGATATGAAAATCCTGCATTTTGCAGGGAACCTATCGGAAAAATATGAAAAATTCGAAGTCAAAGTCACTGTAGAATGTTTGGATGCAGATCGACGTAGAATGCAAAAACATTGATTAAAACACATTCCGATTGAGAATCGGATGAAAATTGGCAAAGATATAGTCTTAGGAGTAGTTCAGATATGAATATCTACCATTTTGCAGGGAATCCATCGGAAAAATATGAAAAATTCGAAGTCAAAGTCACTGTAGAATGTTTGGATGCAGATCGACGTAGAATGCAAAAACATTGATTAAAAGACACTCCGATTGAGAATCGGATGAAAATTGGCAAAGATATAGTCATAGGAGTAGTCCAGATATGAATATCCTGCATTTTTCAGGGAACCTAACGGAAAAATATGAAAAATTCGAAGTCAAAGTCACTGTAGAATGTTTGGATGCAGCTCGACGTAGAATGCAAAAACATTGATTAAAACACATTCCGATTGAGAATCGGATGAAAATTGGCAAAGATATAGTCTTAGGAGTAGTTCAGATATGAATATCTACCATTTTGCAGGGAATCCATCGGAAAAATATGAAAAATTCGAAGTCAAAGTCACTGTAGAATGTTTGGATGCAGATCGACGTAGAATGCAAAAACATTGATTAAAAGACATTCCGATTGAGAATCAGAGGAAAATTGGCAAAGATATAGTCTAAGGAGTAGTCCAGATATGAATATCTACCATTTTGCAGGGAATCCATCGGAAAAATATGAAAAATTCGAAGTCAAAGTCACTGTAGAATGTTTGGATGCAGATCGACGTAGAATGCAAAAACATTGATTAAAAGACATTCCGATTGAGAATCGGATGAAAATTGGCAAAGATATAGTCTTAGGAGTAGTCCAGATATGAATATCTACCATTTTGCAGGGAATCCATCGGAAAAATATGAAAAATTCGAAGTCAAAGTCACTGTAGAATGTTTGGATGCAGATCGACGTAGAATGCAAAAACATTGATTAAAAGACATTCCGATTGAGAATCAGAGGAAAATTGGCAAAGATATAGTCTAAGGAGTAGTCCAGATATGAATATCTACCATTTTGCAGGGAATCCATCGGAAAAATATGAAAAATTCGAAGTCAAAGTCACTGTAGAATGTTCGGATGCAAATCGATGTAGAATGCAAAAACATTGATTAAAAGACATTCCGATTGAGAATCGGATGGAAATTGACAAAAATATAGTCTTAGGAGTAGTCCAGATATGAATATCTACCATTTTGCAGGGAATCCATCGGAAAAATATGAAAAATTCGAAGTCAAAGTCACTGTAGAATGTTTGGATGCAGATCGACGTAGAATGCAAAAACATTGATTAAAAGACATTCCGATTGAGAATCGGATGAAAATTGGCAAAGATATAGTCTTAGGAGTAGTCCAGATATGAATATCTACCATTTCGCAGGGAATCCATCGGAAAAATATGAAAAATTCGAAGTCAAAGTCACTGTAGAATATTTGGATGCAGATCGACGTAGAATGCAAAAACATTGATTAAAAGACATTCCGATTGAGAATCGGATGAAAATTGGCAAAGATATAGTCATAGGAGTAGTCCAGATATGAATATCTACCATTTTGCAGGGAACCTATCGGAAAAATATGAAAAATTCGAAGTCAAAGTCACTGTAGAATGTTCGGATGCAAATCGATGTAGAATGCAAAAACATTGATTAAAAGACATTCCGATGGAGAATCGGATGGAAATTGGCAAAAATATAGTCTTAGGAGTAGTCCAGATATGAATATCTAC